CACATAAGTCATGGAAATGACTAACATGTTTTTCATAATTGACTCAAAGAATCCTCATAGATTATAGGTGAAGATTTTCAATATAAATCCTATCCTTATGGGATACTTAGCCCCTTATCCCGGAAACACAATATGAGTTTATCACAAAGTCAAACTCAAACTCAACCCTTATAAATTTTGAAGATACCATAAAAAAGATAATCTCGAAATCTAACTTTAATTTGAGCCAAAATATGAAACCTCATATGAACTTGTGTCCATTATCTTTATTTGAGTTTAAAGTCCATAAAACCAAATTAAACTTTAAATTCAACTTTATATAGACACAGATTTGTATGACCAAATTAGTCTTAACCTTAAGTAATGTGAATTAAGTTCACAAAACATAAAACAAAGTTTAATAGATTTTAAGCTAGAAACAAACTTTGTTATTTTGAGCCGAATTAGACGAAAACCAAATGTCAACCTAAGCTCAAATACATTCACAATTTAGCCTCAAATCAAATATAACAAAATAAGACAAAATAAAGATCCACTATTTTATTTTATCTTCTTTAGTGAAAGACCATAAAACTTAATCCCTTATGTTGATTTAAAACCTCATAAACAACCATAATAAATTTTAAATCAACCTTTAGATTGATAACTCCATAGATCCCGAAAACATACAAGTAACAATATCAATGTTTACGGTCACAAAATTTACTTAGAATTAAAATAATAAACTCAAATGAGGGTGCTTTATTTCAAGACATCATAACTCCATTGATATTTAATCTTTGGACAAAATATTAACCTGTAATTGATATCTAAGTGTAGTGATGAAACATTGACAATAATAACATATCAAACAATAAACTTTCCTTTGGACCTACTTATCGTTTATATGTATAACCAAATAATTATCACACATTTATCATTACAACAACACACGTTATTCTAATGAGTATTCCCCAATTCAATTCAAATAAAAGCCTATAAACAAAATAAGACTTTTATTTAATCAAGTATAACAAAATAAAATTTGGACTTAAGTTATATGTTTCAGTAAGAATTGTCATCAGTGTACGTATTCCAAATTTTATGCGAGAATGATCGCGTGTATTTCAAATAAAATTGATCAAACATTGCATGTAAGTTTCATCCAAATCCAATTAAATTAAAGAGATATGGAAACAACAAATAACTAAACATACAATCTGAACCCATAGAAAATTAATAAACAAAATTTCACAGAATCCATGCCAAATTAAATCACTTGAACGATCATTCAACATAATTAAAACAAATCCAATATTCGTATATCCCAAATCAACATGCTCACTTTATATTTACTCATTATTTAATTCCGATCGGGTGTTCTAGATGGATCAACATCAGATGATCTAGACTAAGTGAAAATCTGAATCATTTATTTACATAGACATGCGATTTCAAACATAAATCCCAACGATATGGCATGAATAGATATTGCAACCATAAATCGACACAAAAGAAAAACTGAATATCGCATATGATGGATGATTAAACGATCCCCAAAAATTTAATATGAAAAGGCTCTGATACCACTTGTTGGAATTAGCCTTATGCGAAATCATCGCTTTATCCCAGGAGCATTCATATCAAATAATCGAGAATCAAACATAGATAGCGGAAGCGTACCTTAGGTAGATTTATAGATTTGATCACCATGGAACATGACTTGGATCACGAACACATCCTCAATCACGAACGGTGTTGGTTTTATGGCCTTCCTCAACTAAATCGTCTTATTCCTCATATGGGACCGTCGTTCTAGACTCTGATGGGGAGAAAAGAGAACTATGTTTGATTTAGTATTTTGGGGACCATAACCAAGAGGGTCTTTATATACTAATAGGGTAGGCCACCCATTATCACCTAACCCTAGTAATATTAGGTATCCACTCATTAAGTCCATATCAATTTATGTAGCCCATGAACTCTACTTAATTTAGATCACTTAATTGAGTCCATTAATTAATTGAATAGCTAATATAATATAATTGTATATAATATGTTGCCCATAATTAGATTATACATAGGAAATAAAATATTTCCTAACAATAATGTCTTTATTTAGGCTTATAATATTTTAATACTTCAAACAAATTGTTTAGACAATTTTTTTACATTTTCGTTCTATATATATATATATATATATATATACATATACACATATACATAATAGATGTTAAATTTAAATACTTTTAGACATGTTTTTTTACAAAATAGTTTAGAAAAAATCTTTGATACATATTTAAATTATAAATGTTTTTAGATATGTTTTTCTTTCAAAAATAATTTAGAAAAGTTGTAGGTGACGTCATATCTTTAAAAAATAATATAGAAATTTTAGATACTTTTACTTATATTAATACAATAATAATTTAGGTTTTTTTTAATCATATACAAGATAATTTTACATTGTTTGACCCCACATCTTCAACTTATAATTATTATTTAATATTATTTATACTCTTTTTTAATTTATAGTTATTTTTTTTTCTTCCTCCTTTTAACGAGGACCAATAGTAATTTTCACTTCCTCCATTAAGCTACTCAAACTCGAGGCCAATTTATAATTATTATTTAATATTGTTTCTCGTGCATCGCACGAGCTACACACTAGTTAAAAAAATATAAACCAGAAATAAAACTAAAATAGCTGAAATAAACTAACGGGAGGGTTAGGGGTCAGTTTCCTGTTTTTATTTATTTATTATTATTTTTCACATAACAATTAGTTACTGTAGTCCAGTCGACGGAATGATTCCGTCAATATTTGTTACTGTATATATCTATACTGCATAATTTACATGGAAGATGCGACAGTCCCGTTACGAAACCATTCCGTCGGTGTTTGTGACCGTTAGATCAACTATCTGTGACGGTTAAATGATGATCTAACAGTTACAAACTCTGACGGAATGGTTCCGCAACGGGACCATAGCTTTCCCAATTTACATATGTACCCGACAGTGAAAAACACTAACAGAACCATCTTGTAGCGGAGACCGTAGTCATCCTCAATAATAGTTAGATATACCTATTATAGCATATCCATACACCGATTTATCACAAAGTTAAATAAATTGGAATTTAGGAGGAAATATTGTTGGCCATATCAATCACCAACCTTCACCATCTAATTATTCAAACCAAGCAGAAAATCCAAATTTATTTCCAAATGGTTACAAACATAAAAGTAACTGAATACGACAACACACATATAATATTGAATACAAAAGCAAACATCCGCGCACGGGTAAAAACCGAAATTCACCCATTTTTATTTATATTTATCTGGCGGTAAAAGACATGCATGCATACTCCCTAGCTCCCCAGTAAGAGTAAGAGTACTGCATGGTTATTCGTTCACTTGGACATTTTGGCAGCAACTTCTCGGACAACTTTGGCGGCAACAAACATGGTGAGGCCTTGGCCCTCGGCCGGGTCGAGCTGCGGGTTGAACTCCACCACGTCAGCACCGACAATGTCCCCCTTTAGGTTTTGGACTATGTTCATCACGTCCCGGAAGGACAGCCCACCCGGCTCCCGGTGGGACACTCCCGGAGCAAAAGCCGGGTCCATACCGTCGCAGTCGATCGATACGTACACCCCTCTCACCCCTTCACCTAATGTCTGCATTCATCTCATAAATTCATTTGATACAACATTACTGTTACAATCTTTTTTGTATAACAAAACATTTGATATAAATAGGAAGAAGAAAGAAACTAAAAGAGGTTAATTGTACGAAAGAGACCAGATTTTCCAATTCCTCCCTGTGTTCTTCATAGTTTCGCATTTCGATTTGCTGCACGCCGTATCTCTGTGCTTGTTGACGCCCTTCTGAGTTGATCGATCTGATCCCAACCTTCAACAATTTCATAATTACTCTTAAAATTCATGTACATATATTATTAATTAGTTAGTTAGAATATATGATGATCACCTGCACCAGCCTTCTGCAATAGCCATTCTCCATGATTCTTGCAAAGGGTGACGCATGAGAGTAAGGGTCCCCCATGAAGGCCTCATAGAGATCCGGATGAGCGTCAATGTGAAGGATGTCGACCGGCCCTCCCAGCTTCTCAGACACGGCTCTCACCACCGGGAACGAAATGGAGTGGTCCCCACCAAGTACCAAAGGCCTCATTGGGCTCTGCAAAATTATTACATTAATTGTAATATGAAGGTTCGGAAAGGTCCGCTCGTCATACATTTCAACAAAAAGAAATGCATACTTATATAACGAAAATGTCGTAATTTTGTTTATGCTGTTTTTAGAATTAACACGATATTTTTCAGTATATGGTTGACTAACAACAACACTGCCGGAAACTATTCTAACACATGTATGTTATTAACAATATTTTGTCAAGATCATATATAAAAAAATTTCACAATAAATTCCAATTACAAGAGTGAAATGGAAATCTTACCACATCCATGACTTCTTTGACACAATCAGTGATGCATTGCATCAATCTGTCATCATCAATTTGAGCTTCGTGCAGCTCTTGAATTGGCACGTCGCCAACATCACTAAGGACCCTTGGATCACTTATGTCCTTGCCTGATCAACCAAGATATTAATTAATAAAAGCGCATTCCCCCATTCGAGTCGTACGAATATTCAAATAATTTGTTATAATGATACAATAAAATTTAGATATCGAGAGAGAATCGTGTTTAGATATCAAGAGAGAATCGTGTTTTTTTTTTCCTTTTTTTTTAATAGCTAGATTCCATTTGATTTAGATTCTTCATATCGAAAAATATATAAGTACAGTATGTGTGTGTATCACCTTCCTCAGTGGTGGAGTTGGTACTAATATCCCATAAACCCTCTCTGATAAGGGGAGGCGCGTATTTGGGGCCCTCATGAGCCGAAGAGTGATGTCCCAAAGGCAAACCCAACATAGTCGACGTTGCAACAGCACCTCCCAAGTTTCTCAGAATATCTCCCTTCAAATCACCCGCATATTTAATTAATAACATAATTCATTATTGGAAAGAAAAAAAAAATGGTCGATTATGATACCATAATTAGTGTCTTGATACACTAGCAATGCATGCACGTATGCAGAGTATTGAATCGTGCGCATGCACACACACACAAAGAAAAAATGATCTCCCGTACGTACCTTGAGCTTGCATCGGTCGCGAATTTCTTGCACGGCAGTTTGGAGGAGAGTATCTTGGCCAGCGGTCACATTTGCTGGTGAACTTAGTGCTGCTTTCCCCTTACTCTTCATGTAAGAAATTCCCCTCCTCGCGATCGTATTCATTTTCTTTCCTCTTTTTTTATTTTGAACCTTTAGTTTAAGATGAATCAAAGTTAGAACAACGTTTTGCAAACCAAAATTTCATAGTAATTCCAATCTATCTTGACTCGAAAATATATATATATATAATCTCAAACTATAACAAATGTGCATTTTTGCACTCCAAAATTAGAAAAATTGAAAGGATGAACTAACTAGAGTTTTTTTAATGCTTCACTTGGGAAGCACCAAGGAGGATTGTTGAGATGGGGTGAGCCTAGACATACTAAGTGCACCCTTTTATAGGCACAAAAATAGGCGACGCAAATATGAATAATAATAATAATGTATAATTGATAAATCTATTGATTGAATAATGACAAAATGAAACGTGAGCAAATTAGCAAATGGACCCAAAAAAAA